GAAGTCTTCTCTTACCTGTCAGACAATTGCATCCTAAACTCGACTGCTCTGCTTTGCCACGCAGGAAAGAAATCTCCAGTGAACAAGCTGTGGCATAAAGGTCTTCAGACCTTTGAACGACACTGAAATTCAAGCAGCATGACCGCGCAGCCACCTCACCTGTCACTGCTGTTATTTCCCAGCGCAATCCACAGCCACTGGATCTCCCCACCCACCTAACTCGATACATCACAACACAATGAACTTACACAGAAAACGGATGAACACAGTCGAGGTTAGCTGGGCTTCCAGAGAGACTGGATCCTCTGCCTGACCTCACATAAATGGTGATGAATGTTTTTCTGCCTCACACAGTACAAGGGTTGAAATAAAATGGAAAGAACACTCTGCAATCCAAAAAAACCAGCTCTGACATAAGACTTTCCCTGTTGGCACTTCCATCATCTTCCTCATCATGTCCCCTGTCCCAGGTCATCTATAAACAAGAATGAGCAGTGAGAATAAAGTTGGGAAGGAAGGTTCCCAGGGGTTGCAAATGCCAAATGAAGCTAGAAAATAATGACCTTTAATTATATCAGTAATAATATTTTTTTTAAGAAAAAAAGCACACAGATGAGAGAACATGCACTTATCCTGCAGCTCATAGCAAGCAATAAACAGCCCTCAAACCCCAAAATACAGGTACTTAGCCTGACTACATATTACTATGAAACAGATTTAAGCCCTTAAAAGAAGTAAGAGTTCACATTTCTTAACAGTCTTTAGAAAAAAATAAAGCAGAAGACTGAAATTAAAGTGATTATGCTATAAATAAGTTTAATTCATTTATTCAGGTATTTTTGTCAGCAATAAGAATTTCACTGATTCTTTAGCAACTATCAGTGACCATCCTGTAATATTAAAATAATCCCTTTTGTTTAAAACAGACTAAAAGTATTCACCTTGCAAACAAATTTGAGGGTGCAGCAGAGAGAAGTAAAACATTTCCTGCACGTAGAGTTGTACATCTTAAAGAGAAAGGGGCGAGGACCAAGGGGGAATCCAGCCAGAGTCATTATCTCACTGCGAATCTTCAGGCTAGACACCTCATCTCCTCGTGCCTCTTACAACTCATCTAACAAATGGAGATGTGGGGGAGTGTGGATCAGGATCTCACCAAAGTCTTCCTTCAGAGCTAGTGAGGATTGTCTCTGGGGAAATACACTGCAGAACTAACTCTCTCCCACTTTCGCATTTGCAAAAAAAACCCAGCACAGGCTCAGTGCACAGGATACATTTGAAACAGGGTGTATTCAGTTCTAGGGGCAGTGATCAGCACCCTCACTCGGCTTCAGAATTGACTAGGAAAACGCAGATATACCAAGAACCATAAATAAAAGAACTGGCCAACCTCTCTGTCTTTCCCAATACATACATTGGAACAATCTGGTTCAAAACAGATTAGGGTTTAACAAAGCTATCGTTTGGAATAGTTGAAAATATCAACATCCTTCCAAGTTTGCTGGAATTTTAACAATCACTTCAGTAAAGATCAGATTATGTGCTTAGGCAAATCAGTACATTTCTCGTATGACAGAAGTCTTTGACTTTTGCCTTCAAGGACTTGCGCTGGCAAAACCCAACATTGTGATTACTTTGTTTCACCGCTGAAGCGACAGGCATCTAAGCAGAGCAAAAGAATGGTGACTGCAATTGGATTAACAAATCCTGATTCTCTTAATGGACTCACTGTTGAGAATCAAGGAAGATTCTTGATTTTCCTTTACCTGTAACAGCCATTACTTTGTCATATATTGAACACCTCTGGTATCAGTGAGTTTACAAAATGGGGCCAGGGGATATCTAAGGCATAAGCAGGCTTATCAGAAAAGCAATGTTCAATCAACCCTTAACTCTCACACTCTCAGGAAAAGAGTATTACACAACTGAACAACAAAAACCCCCTCAAAAATATCCACATTAACAAATTCAGGTATTTGTACATATTACTTTTTAAATAACTATCCATCAACTGTCCCCCTATTACCCCTAGTATTCATAAAAACCAGGGTAATCACTGCAATCCAGATACGCAGTCTTGTGCTTTGAAAATATCAGACTTCTTATTTAGGGAAAAAAAAAGTTGATTCTAACACAGGTGTTCTTATGTATCAATTTGGAACTTAAAATGGCATGCATCCTGTCTCAGAACACAAAACAAAAAATGTCTTTCCTTCAAATGAGCTAATGGATGACAAGCACTGTCCTTTTAATGATCTGCAAACATGGTATTCATAGCAACATTCTATTAATGACATGAGACTGTTTACTTCATGGCCAATTTGTCTATGGTGTCAGCTCGCAAACACAGGGTATTTGGGAGCACGGGGGTGGAAAAGTAGCTATGTAGATGGTAAAGTGGCAAAAAAAGCTAAGTAGGAGAAGCACAGAGAAATAGGTAAATGTGTTCTAGCAAACCTCTGGCCTAGCCAGATGTAAAGAAAAGTCCTAAAGAAAAAAAAAGCACTATTACATAGGCATTTCATTTAATTAGACAATTATAAAGCATTCATGATATACAAAAACATCAATTATCTTAAACATGGATTTAGTAGATCAGCTACTCACATTTTTGTTGCAAATGCAGAATTTCAAAAATTACGCTATACGCCAAGAAAAGATAAGTCAATAATGTTATATAAACCAGTTATTAGATTATACTCCCCTGACATCCGCCTGCACAACTCTTCTGTTTCTGTCAAAAAATGAATACATATTAGGCAATATCATCTAAATCACTGTAAACAAAGACTGCTTAGAACAAATGTAGTCAATAACAATATTGTTAACTTGCACAAATCACAACACAGAATGTATGTGTTTAATGAAAGTATGTTGGCTCAAATCCGTGTTTACTTTTTCAATATTGCACTTAATGTTTGCTGTCTTCTGGAGGATCTGAAGGATGAAAGCTTCAATTAAGATGCAACTGATATAGACCAAGATTTTAATTCTATCTTTTTGGTTAGGTAGTCTTCCTTACTTATTTAAGCAATAAACAGGAAAAAGTTATAAAATATCAGTGTGTGCACATTAAGAAATAGCAAACATAACTGAAACAGAAATTTTGTCATCATAGCTTCTTTAGAGTAACAGCAGAAAAATTCTTAAAGCCAAACCAAAAAAACCATACTGTGTTCCATTTCTGTAAGTAGTGCTGAAATTCAAACCAGAGTTATGTCCCATGTAAATACACACATGGGAAGTAGCAAAAAACACCAAATAACCCAGTAAAACTGCACTTCTCATTGTAGTTTCTAAATAAACTGACACTGAAAACCCTGAACTTAAATGTCTGAAGTGTACAGGTAGCCAAAACTTTGTAAGCCTCAGCTTTAAGATCTTAACGTAATTTTATTAGAAATTGCGATTTGCAGTTCAAGATTCCCTGGGGAAAAAAAAATCAGCCAGCAGAGTAAAGAAGAAACCACACAAGCTTCCTCTCATTTTAGGGAAATTTTACTAGTCTCAGTTTGACTTTTAATTTTGGGTTGTCAAACACAACAACTTGCAACACAAAGGCCAATATTTAACAAAACAATTTAGATGACCTTAAAATAAGATCCAAATGCCCATAATTTCTTCCTTCCTCCCATTTCAAAATTTAAGCTCTGGACTAGAAATTCAGCACTTGACAATGATCCTCTGTAAGTAAACATTTGAAAAGAGATCATCAGAGCTCTATGTCCCCACCTCAGAGAGACAATTTACTAAAAATTCCTAAATTAAATACATAAAAGTGTGAAGGTTGATCAGTACAAACAATTTGCCTCTTTTTTGCAAGACAATCTGATCATAAAGTTCTTGGAATTATTCTAAAACTTACCTCAGGTAACTGAGAATTTTGATCACTGTAATTAACACATTTCTTAAGTGTTTTGGTCAAAAGTTTAATTAAGCAATATTCTTGGATTAACTAATCCAATGGAATGCAATATGCAAACATTTACTTCCTCTCTCTCCTTAAGATTATTTTGGGGTCTTTTTGAAAAATACTTGAGTTTTCTGTACCTCACAACACAGTAATATCTTCAGATGTTCACATCGACCTTTCAGGTTTGGATATACAGTAATTCAACTTTGGGATGTGGTTACTAATGACAGAAGTGCAACAATTACCTTTTGAAAAGAATATGATTCGGCAATGCTGTCTCTTTCACTGTGGAAAGAAATTTACTACTCGGATATACTGGTTGATAATTGGAGAAATATTTGAATATGAAGGCTGATTCTTTTTCTTCCTGGTATTACACCAGGAAGAGTCAACAATAATGTTTAAAATGAGACTTAATTGTCTGAAGAAGGTGAGATGAAGGAAGCACTTGTCTAGTGTCATCATTTGGCTAACTCTAGAACAAAGTTTACTATCACAGAATGTAAAAAGAGTCAGTAATAAAATAATATACATTAAATATTCCTCTTACTTCTGCTAATAGGAACATACATGTAGGGTTTTCTCATTTACCAAAAGCCTTTGCAAATGACCTGATTCTATAGAGCTTCTTTTTTGTAGATACTGTAAACATTTAGAATTTCTAAGGCTAAAAACAGGCACAAGTCTTCCATGAATAGTTATTATTCCTAAAAGCATTAAGGAATATATTCCAAATCTGCTATTCCTTTTCATAACAATGGAAATAATTGAAATATAGTAATTCACAATGCAGATTCTTAATTAATAAAAGAAATATAGCTTAATTGTGACAACAATTAGTAATATATAGGGAATACTCATACTTTTTTTAAATGGTCTATTACATCAAAATTACATTTCCAGAATCTCTGTGCTGGGTGTTACTCAATTTTATAAAGTGGTAAGTTTAAGTAGTGACTAAAACATTTCTAAGTGGGTAAAATTCAACCCCGTTACATCAGCATTATTAGCACCCCGGCTTTATAATAATGCAGGTGAGATCTGCAATATCCATTTTGCAGACTATGATATTAAAGCCACGTGGTAGGTGGCACCTTTTAAAAGATGTTAGACGCTCCTCTCCGTAATTTCCATGAGGTGATTTTGTTTTGTGCCTCGTTAAGGTACCTGAGCCAACAGTCTTGTTTCAGGCTGGTTTTTCAAGATTTCAGAGGTTTTTCAACCTCCGTAACAGGTTCCCTTTTGCTAAGCAGCTAAGCATTAGCCAACATTTCAGCAGACTGATTCCAATGTATGTTAGCAGCAATGCATTTCCAGAGACACGTTGCAAAAATATTAAAAGCAATCGTCATCTAGAAGTCCTTTTATTCCCTGCACCATTCTGGACAAAATAACTCACCACCAAGTAATCTTGAATTCATAGATAGGACGCTTGCAGTAATAGTGATTTATCAGGTGTTTATCACATACCCCGATACACTGATGATCCACAGTTATCCCTCTATCAGACAAGTCTGTCACAATACAGTGCAGAAGATCATATACATCAGCTACAGCCTCCCAGGGGCCAAACGATACATCTACTTCGCAATGATGTTCAAATAGCTTTGTCTCACTTTCACTCCTTTCAAAACGTAAAGAATTGAAGTGTGGGCATTCGTAGGGAGTGATGGGCATCTCTTCTTTGAAGACGCAGACCTTCAATTTTGCAAATCTTGCTTTTCTTTGCATAGCTCTAAGCTTTGCTATTTCGATTATCCGTTCCAAATGATCTAAAAAACAATAAAAAATTGAAAATAACAATGAAGGACCTAGTAAAAGAAAACAAATGCAATTATTTCACGTGAAAGATTTGGTGTTTAACAAGTTATTCTTAACATTTTTAACATAATATTAGCAGCAATGGGAAGTTGCATGTAGCTAGATATATAATAATTAAATCAATCTTAGTTATTTTGTGAACTCAGTGCCCTTACTATATGCCCAAATTTGCTCAATCTCAGGTCCTAACAGAACAAATGCAGAGGCAGAGAAACCTTCTTATTTAATAAGCCTTGCATGTTATGGCCTAGATCTTGCTCCCTTTTAAGACAGCATAAAAATCCACATCCTTGGATACAGCAGGAAGAAGTCTGATGTGGAGACCTCAAAGATCTAAAGAGCGTGGAAGATACCTAAGAAACCTCTCAAATATAATGGAATTAGTTTGAAAGCTGAAAGCAGACCAGAAAGCACCATGTATACTTGAACCACATTGGAAGAAACAGTCAATACTACTGTGTTTATTTACCTTTGTAATATGGCATTAGGCCCAGGAAAGCTTGTCTAACTTTTTCTCCTTTAAGAGGCTGGATGTCCTCTAAATTGTCTAGCAGTGGTCCTATGGAATAATACTGAGCTTCCTTGTAAACTGACCTCACTCGCTCTCGTGGTGGCAGGTCACCAGATCGTAGAAAGTTAAGTATGTCTCTAAAAAAAGGGCAAAAATATTGTTAAGTAACAAGTTTCTGCCAAAACTGTTGCAGGTTGGAAAGGAGAGGAAACACTGGATATTCATTGTTTAGTCTATTGAGATAGAAATCCTTACAGTTAGACAGTAACTGAAGTAAGTGTGAGTCATATTTCTACATATGTTTTTAAAAGCATTTGCCATGTTTAAGTTTCCAAGTTATCATTTCACATTTTGACACTGTTAATGTCAAAATTCATTTTAAAATATACTGTCATATTTTAAACCAAAAGTTCAAGGTGGAGTTACCACTTAAAATAGAAGACAGGACAGTATTTCATGGGAAAGAGATCATAGTCACTGCATTTCAAATTTAGGTCTGTGACAAAATAATCTTTTCCATTTTCCTGGAGAATCATATGCATGGACACTTCATCCCACACAGAACCAAGATTCTAGCTGAATAGATGGTGCATTTGCAAAAGAGGTGTTTGATTCACAGGATCAGGGTAATATGCACTTGTAGTATATCACTATTATTATTATTATTTCCTTGTAGTTCTGAAACACTGTAAAGCTACAAGATTTTTAATAAGAAAATAAATCCCTTTATAAGCGTTAACCAACAAAATTATTACTGACCATATCAAATAAAACAAGCATTACTGCAATCTTCATTAGAATGTCAACAAATACAGCAAGTGCTAACTTGGCTCTCTGTTCCAGCTGTATTTTCAATTCAGATTGATAACATCACAAATTAATTGATTTTCCAACAAAGCAGCAGGCACTTCCAAATTGCCAAATGTAAAGAAACAATTATTTTCCAATAAATATAGTGGCTTAATCTATTTCTGTCCCAGATTATGGTACAATCCAAATGTGCTTTGAAAATAATTCAATCCTTCTCTATTGAAGAGATTAAGGAAATGTCAACAAAGGAGAAACAAGCAATGTAAGTTAAATTGCAAAGCGTGCTTTGGGCAAAGACCTTAACCCCTGAACGTTAACCCATGCACACTGCTTACCTGTTCTAGCAATCTCACACCAATTCAAACAGAATATTAGTAAGATCATGGTTAGTTTAATTAAAAATAAAACAAAAGCTAAACACATAAGAAGGAATCCTGAAGGTGCAGGAATATGGCACTACCAGCAAAAATAATTTAAAAAAATTTCTTTGAGGCTTGTGCTTTTTTACCAGTTACATTATATCCTGTTTAAACACTGAAAACATGACACTTTCAACTGTTTAAGAAACCTAGATGCATTCCATCCATTCCCTCTTTATCATAAATACTGTAATATCAATTAAAGGAGCCGCGTTGTGCAAAAGAGCTTCCTATGAAAAGCAATACCAAATACATTCTTTCTTAAAACATCAACTTGACACCTTGAAATGAGGTACTCTACAGAAGAAAATGCACTAAATTCAAAACATTACTTTTTTTTCTTTTCCCACTGTAAAACTTAAGCCCTTAAGAATAAAACAAATAGCTTTTAAATTGCAATCTACTCCTCTCCTCAGATGTTTTGAAGGTGTGGATGCCAGGGAGCCACATTTACCTACTACACAAATATGATTTAACTAGAAGGAAAAAAAAATACATTAAAACTTATTTTTCTTTAAAAATATTTTTCTTCAGTAACAACTTTTAAAGTATACTACTGAGGACACTGTACATACCCAAAGTAGGTTCCATCTCTGTCAATAAAGTATCTGCCTTCAGCATCCGTTGGAATATAGTGCCTTCCACTGAACATAGCCGCCAACATTGTGTCCTCATAACGTCTCAGTGTTGACAGTCTTGTTGTAAAATACATGCCTCCTACGTTTAGTGGAACAACTTCTGGAAACTGCAAAAGCAATCACATCATCAGAAATGAGCCTCTAGTCCTTTGCAGACATGTTCAGGCCAAAAGGGTTACAACGTCTAGAAGATATAGCATGCAGTCTTTGCCACTGTAACATAATTTGGTCTGACAAATGCTTCTTTCCTGGCCTGTCACCACGAAACAGTGAGGTTCAAGGGTGAACAGCTTGAATACTCTGGCTGGCTTCTGGGTGCAATCAGTGAATGTTTTCATTTTAGTTGGAAATCTGAAACAGCAGTAATCACTCAGCTTTAAAACCAGATAGTCACTAAAAGCATGAATGCCTCCTCTTGGCTCTTTTGGGGAAAGAAAAGAACCCCAAACACCGCCCGCCTCCCCTTCCATACACATACACACACAAAAAGGTAGGAAATCTCAGGCCAACCTTGGGATTTGCACTCAGTTGCTACTCTACTGATTTCTTTACACTATACTACTATACTATATTTTACTGTATCATACTATACACTGAAAAAAACAGTGATTCTGTATTTACATTAGGTTTACAGCAGGCCTAAAATCTTAGTATCACACCTTAAGATGCCTCGGTACCAGAATAAAAACTTACTTGTATTTGTCAAGTCCAAACGGATGGAAATTCTAAGTAATGCTGCCAAGCTATTGAAGTAAAATTCAAGAGAGTTGTGTTCAACCATTTAGCTACTAATGGAAACTGAACTGATATCCATAAATACTCCGACAAAGAAATCCAGAATTCTTGGGCACTTGAGCAGTACGTGCTGCAATAGCTGGACCTTACCAGGTGAACAGGACCAGAGAGCTCTTACCTGCTGAGGCAGCAGAGGTAGTGCTTGTCCTGCCTGGGTTGCGGTAGGAGTGGCTGGCTCTTGGAAATCATCCTCTGCATCTGAGCTCGACATGGCATCATCCGGGTTTCCACTCACTTTGTTCTGCCCCGTAACTACCACCATCCCTCTGGCTCTCGTAAGCAGGTCTGCTGGGTAGGCAGCCGTGGCAATGCTAAATGGGAAACAAGACCCAAATCACTTGGGCGCTCTCCCCACCAGCTGCAGATCACGTGGCAGGCAAGGCACGGCACTCCCCGGCTTTACACTGATCATTTACAATGGCATTGTTATTACTGGGAAATGAATCACAGCAAGGATAACTATAGTGCTGAGAAACAAACTCAGAGAGGGCTGTCTCTGCAGGAA